AGTATCCAAAATCTAAAAAGAATTTAATCAAACTTAACACCCAACAAATAAATAATTCTAAAAAATGGGCAGAAGACATGAACAGAAGAAGCCATACAAATAGCTAACACACTCATGAAAAAATGCTCAACATCATCATCATCAGTGAAATAGAAATCAAAACCACAATGAGATACCACCTCACACCTGTCAGAATAGCTAAAATTAATAACTCAGGAAACAACAGATGCTGGTGAGGATGCACAGAAAAGGGAAACCTCTTACTCTGTTGGTGGGAATGCAAACTGGAGCAACTACTCTGGAAAACAGTGTGGAGCTCTTCAGAAAGTTAAAGATAGGGCTACCCTATGACTCAACAATTGCACTACTAGGTATTTATCCAAAGGATACAAAAATATTGATTTGAAGGGTCACATGCACCCCAATGTTTATAGCATCACTATCAACAATAGCCAAATTATGGAAAAAGTCCAATATGACATATACTATGGAATAATACTCAGCTATCAAAAGGAATAAAATCTTGCCATTTGCAATGATATGACTGAAACTAGAGTGTTTTATGTATGATAAGTGAAATAAGTCAGTCAAAGACAAATGCCATATGATTTCTTTCATATGTGGAATTTAAAAACAAAACAGATGAATATCAGGTAAGGGAAGGAAAAATAAAATAAGATAAAAACAGAGATTGAGGGGCACTTTGTTGGCTCAGTCGGTTAAATGTCTGGCTCTTGATTTTGGCTCAGGTCATGATCTCAGGGTTTATGAATTCGAGTCCCACATCAGGCTCTGCACTGACATTGTGGAGCCTGATTGGGATTTTCTCTCTCCCTCTCTCTGTACTCCTACCCTGCTCTCTCTCTCTCTCTCAAAATAAATAAATTAATTTAAAAAAACAGAGGGAGGTGAACTCTTAACTATAGAGAATAACTATAACTACAGGATTGCTGGAGGGGAGGTGAGTCGGGGGGTGGGCTAAATGGGTGATGAAAATTAAGGAGGGAATGTATTGTGCTTTGCACTGGATTTTATATGCAAGTGATGAATCACTAAATTCTATTCCTGAAACCAGTACTATACTGTATTTTAACTAACTTAAATTTAATTAAATAAAATCTTGGAAGAAAAAATAATGGATATTTCAAATTCTTTACCTTCCTTTTGTTAAATATTCCCAAGGTTTTCTCTGGTTTATTTAAGCTTTAGATGCTCTTCTGTGTGATGTGGGCCTTTGAGTTCTGTTTTCCCTTTTCTGAACATGTGCAGATTACTTCAGAACTTTAGAGTGTCCCTCCTGCCTTCCTTCCTGGTTTTCCTCTATAGCTCTATCCATGTCATTGCAAATGGTAAGATTTCATTCCTTTATGACTGAATAATATTTCATTGCATATATATATATATATATATATATATATATATATATATATATATATATCACATCTTTATCCATTCATTATTGATAGACATTTGGGCTGCTTCCATAGTCTGATTATTGTAAATAATGCTGCAAAAAACATAGGGGCACATATAGCCTTTGGAATTAATTAGCGTTTTTGTATTTTTGTAAATACCCAGTGTGCAATAACTGGATCATAGGTAGTTCTATTTTTATTTATTAATTTAATTTAATTTTAAATTCCATTAAGTTAACATATAGTGTTATATTAATTTCAGGTGTACAATATAATAATTCAATGTTTTCATAGATCACCCAGTGCTCATCACATCAAGTACACTCCTTAATCCACATCACCTATTTTTACCCATCATTCCACCAACCTCCTCTCTAGTAACAGTTTGTTCTCTATAATTAAGTCTGTTTCTTGGTTTGTCTTTTTTTCCTTTGCCTTTTTTGTTCATTTCTTAACTTCCACATATGAGTGAAATCATATGGCATTTATCTTTCTCTGACTTATTTAAGTTATTTAACTTAGCATTATACACTCTAGCTCCATCTATGTCATTGCAAATAGCAAGATTTCATTCTTTTTATGGCTGAATAATAGTCCATTATATATATATAAGCATATCTATCTCTACTTCTATCTATCTACCTATCATCTATTATCTATCATCTATCTATCTATCTATCATCTATTATCTATCATCTATCTATCTATCTATCATTTCTTCTTTATCCATTCATCTATTGATGAAAACTCAAGAGGCTTCCATAATTTGGCTATTGTAAATAATGCTGCTATAAATATACGGTGCATGTATCCCTTTGATTTAGTGAGGTTTTTTTTTTAATGTATTTTTTGGGTAAATACCCAGTAGGGCAATTGCTGGAATAGTGTGTAGTTCTATTTTAACTTTTTGAGGAACCTCCCTACTGTTTTCCACAGTGGCCCCACCAGTTTGCATTTCCACCAATAGTACATGAAGATTCCTTTTTCTCCACATGCTCCCCAACATTTCTTGTTCTTACATTTTAGCTAAAACTACATTGTGTAGATTTGATTTGCATTTTCCTGATGATGAGTGATGTTGAGTACCTTTTCATGGATATGTTGGCCATCTGCACATTGAAGAGACTAATTTTAAAAGCAAATGGCCCCAGGAAGAATTGTCAACTCTTATTTAACATTTAAAATGGAATTTCTTGGGGCACCTGGGTGGCTCAGTCAGTTTAGCATCTGACTTTGTTTCAGGTCATGATCTCATAGGTAGTGGGTTTGGGCCCCACAACGGGTTCTGTGCTGACAGCTCAGAGACTGGAGCCTGCTTCAGATTCTATGTCTCCCTCTCTCTCTGCCCTCCCCCAACTTGATCTCTGTTTTTCTCTCTCTCAAAATATAAATAAACATTAAAAAATAAAATAAAATGAATTTCTTGAATAGACCATGTAGAATAAAGTCCACTATTAGTAAAGATGTGTCCATTTGCATGAAATTGTGTTTATAAGCCCTAGTGCAAAAAAGAGTAGGTTAGTGGAATAGAGGAATGGACAAACTGTGCACCTTTGGCCACTTTTTATTTTTCCCAGTGTGGGCCTAGGTCTGGTTTCAAGGCATAAAGAAAGGTTAATGTTTGAGGGTTATAGGTTCTGACTTTTTTTTTTTTTTTACCTCCAGTCAATTCCTTCTTTAATATACATATGAGAGCATGTATCATTTTATAGTAAATTAAAAGTATATTCATTTATCAGATACACAGGTTAAACAATGGGAAATAAAAGCATAGGTCCTAGAGGAAGTTTGACCAGAGTTTATATGTACTAGCTGTGCAACTTCTGGCACGTTGATTGACTTCTCTGCACCTCTGCGTAGTAAAGAATTTAAATTTGATTAAAACAGAGGTCTGGCATTTCTCATCAGCTCCTAGAAGATAATCTTTGTTTGAGGGCTTTGGGCTAGCCGGATTGTAACAATGTAATTAGAGTAAGGGCTCTGGGTCACATAGTATCAGCTGACCTGGAAACTGAAATCAGTCATGTGGGCAATTAATCAGTCATGTCTATTTAGTAGAGTCTCAATATGTACCAAACACTGAGGCTTGGATGAGCTTCCCAGGTTGACAATACTCCATGCATACTGTCATACACCCATGCTAGGAGGGTAATGTATCCTGACTCCACAGGGAGATAATAGAAATTCCACATTTGGTACTTCTCCTGGATTCCACCCTATGTGCTTCTCCCTTGACTGATATGAATTTGTACACTTTCTTTGTAATAAACCATAATTGTGAATGCAATAGCTTTCAGTAAGTTTTGTGAGTCCTTCTAGTGAATCATCTTACATGAAGGTGGTTTTAGGAGTCATTCAAATTTGTAGTTGGTGTCAAAAGTGAGTGTAGTCTTCAAGGGTGTGCCCTCTAGCTTTGTAGTAGACCCCTATTCTTTGCAACCTTAGTTTACTCATGTCTAAAATGGGGGTAATATCTAATTAACTATTCGAAGACTAATTATAAGGATGAAACAAAATAAAACATTAAAATGTCCTATAATTCAGTACATTCCTCAATAAAAGGCAAGTACTATTGTCAAGCACATATCATAATCATATCATCAATAAGCTTTTTTGTATGGCTTATGAAATATGTATTTTGCCTCTTTCACACATATACAGTCTTAAATCTTCACAATAATTCTTGGAAATAAGTAATTAATATCTTTATTATGGGTGAGAAAATAGAGTTAGCATAATTAAGTGGCTTTATTCATTCATGCAATAGGGATATGTTGAGTGCTTACTTCATGTGGGCATTATGCTAAGTGTTAGAGGTGTAATGGGGAATTAAGAAAATATGACACTAGCACTCATGGTGTTTATAGTGAGAGAGGCAAACATTAAACAAATAACAGTCAAAATATAGAATTAAAAGTTTTTAAATCATTATGGAAAAACAGAAGAATATATGGTTAAATATAATAAGTAATACTGTAGGACTTGAGCTTAGATTTTTAAAGACTAGTGTTCTTGGGGCACCTGGGTGGCTCAGTTGGTTAAGCATCTGACTTCAGCTCAGGTCATGATCTCAAGATATGTGGGTTTGAGCCCTGTGTTGGCTCTGTGCTGTCAGTTCAGAGCCTGGAGCTTGCTTTGGATTCTGTGTCTCCCTTTCTCTCTGCCCCTAACCTACTCACGCTCTGTCTCTCTCTGTCTCTCAAAAAATGAATAAATGTTAACAAAACTTTAAAGACTAGTGTTCTAATGTACTATATGGCCTAAGATAGGTCAAGTGGAAAGACCAACAATCTTTGATTCTTTTGGACTACAGAGTTTCCCTTGACATAGGATTTTCAGTGCTAAATCTGGAACAATCCTAAGCAAAACAGAATAATTGGTCACCCTAATATCTAGTGCTGAATAACTTTGTTTTTTCTATTCTGAGGCCAATTCCTGTATGTGTAGAGTTTGTCAGGGATCATGCCTAGTGAATTAGTAACAGAAAAGGATCAAAAGGTAGATGACCCAGAAATTGTCAACATCAAAGTCCACTCAAGGGAGAATCACTGCCAGAGGCACCTTTGAGAGCATGCTTTCTTTGCAATGAGCTACAGGACATCTCTGGTGAATGGCTGCTCCAGTTGAAGAAAGCTAGAATCCGGTCAGGAAACAAATGCAAGAGTATACACTTCAGGTTAGTTTTGGAAGGTATGGCTCTTACTTATGTTTTTACCAAAGTAAAAGTTTTTTATCTTAAAATCACCTGCAGTTCCAAAAGTAGCTCATTTATATAAGTAACACACAAACACAGTTGGGGAGCAAAACAGACCTTTCAACTAGTAAAGGCAATTGCCACTAAAAACAGAGCTCAACAGTTCCCCTAAGTATTTAAGGCCAGCTGGATACCGAGCTCTTATGGGTCATATTAAAGAAAACAAAAGGATTTTTATACTCAGAGAGTCAGAATCATGCATGGCTAATTAGGAATGGGATTTGAAACCAGTAAGATTCCAGAGTGTACCCAGAAGAGAGGAGCGGTTTTAGAAGTAGGGTAGAAGCAAAAGTTTAGCAGCAAATATTTCAGGGCATAGTTTTGGAGTTGGAAGAACTGTCATAACTGAGACAAGGCCAATTCTTTTCATCTGGAGGTTGTCCCCAGTTTTTATACTGTCCAGCAATTGATTTAGACCTAGGAAAATCATACAGATTTGTACTTGCTAAGCTCTAGGAGAAGTTGGGGTAATCTCAGGGGTCTGCCATGCTTGTATTTATAGACACTTTAAGGAAAGTGCCCTGAAGGAGTTCCTTCTCCCATCACTTTCTATAACTTGTGTTGAGTAAAACCAATCCTGCTACCCTGGCCACAAGTGATTGGACAAGGAATTTATACATGGACAGAGAAGGGAGATGGGAAATATTTATGCCATTTTCACTGTATGAACTCAGCTTTCGGTGTCCTGCACTTCACCAAGGAGAATAAGAGGTATAGAGGTTAACCATTTATGTGCTCAACTAAAGCAAACTGTCCTCTCAAGGCTGAGAGTTGATTATTCCTCTTTTTCCTTCTCATCTTCTTTTCCTCACCTCACCTTACCCTCTTTCCTCCATTTTTTAATAAGACATAATGCAGCAAAATCTGATAATGAACTATAAACAGCTAAGAGATAACAACCATTAATGACTTTTTCAAGACACTTTCTGGGATATTAATTCTTATTGCTTTTCCTAAAACTTAGAAGGCAGTATACACTCACAGTGGTTAGGAGATTGGACCCTTGTAATTAAATAAGAGTGAGTCCTCTTACTCACTGTGGTACCTTAGACAAGTCATTAATCAATATCATCATCTGTAAAAGTGAGGATTAAATGAAGCACTGGATGTAAAATTCTTGAAGAGTGTCTGGAGCACAATAAAACAGTGTACTCAACACTGGCTATTGTTTTCATTGTTACTTTATGATTCCTCTTACTGCTATTACTACTAATAATAACACTTGATAGCAGGGGTCTGATAAAATCCCTCAGAACAAGTAAGCTTTGCAGAATCAGTCTAGGATGGAGAAAGAGGTGGTGAAGGGGAGTTCAGGTTTGTCTGGTGCATTGCACTAGAAAATCCTGGGTTAGGGTGAAGCCCACTGGGTGTATTAGGGCTGCGCAGGATTGGAGGAAGAGAAGCATGGAGAGAGTAAGAAGAACAATGGGGACCTTCTTCACTAACCTTACAATTTAGCTTATCTTTACACTTGTTGGAGATTTTTGCACATTCATTTTTATAGGTTTGCTCTTTTCTTGCTAAACCGAAAAAAGGTTTTGGAGTTGAGGATGGAAGTAACAAGGGACATTTAAGCATCCTCAAATGGAGTGGTGTCAAATCATGCATGTAGAAAGAGTATCATCATGGCTGAGAATAGGTTGGAGGGGTACAGAACACTTCTTCCATTTAAGGAAGAAAACACTGGTAATCTACTTAAATGAAAACCAGTTTTAGTACCTCCTTTATTACACTTTTATAGTCTGCAAAGTTCCATCTTTTTCATGCTGCAGAGTGCATGGTATGTAATTCTATACCAATGATAAATTTTACTTTAGAGGAAAAGTGAAGGTTTTAACTTTTTAATAAGAATTATTTCTCTAGACACTTTATCTGGTATTCAAACTATTTAATTTGTAAGGCCATATCCCTGATTCACAAAAACTTTAAGTGACACCAATCGGGCTCAACTATTTTCATTATTAATGTACAACAATGCTAATCGAGGTTGACTTGACTCTTGAGCCATAATGTTAAGATTTTTCTTCACCCTAAAGCACAATTTAAGATTAGTAATAAAAATTAACATTTTTGTATTATCTACTTCCTTTACTGATGTTACACTCATTGAACATTAACTGACACTAAGTTAGTCTCTATTTAAAAATACACATTTAGTTCTGTTTTCAGAAGATTTCTACTCCCAACATCATATGTAGCATGACACTAAGCGTGAAATTTATAGTAGGAAAAAAAAACAAAGCAATTAAGTAAAATAAAAGACAGCATAACCTATTAGCCTTCTCTAGGTTGTGGTCTTTCCAGACTTATTACTGTAATAAGTCCTCATTAATGTGGACTTCATGAAAACTCAAGTTTGGAGATCATTTGAACTCAGGCTAGGTTTAAATTGACCTTGCATTATCAATGAAGAAAGCTTTGCTAAGCAAATTAAAGTAGAAATAGGAATGCTGGAGGAATATTCAAACTACTTAATAGACCAAACTGTGCTTTCAAATACTTTAATTCCATCCCATTATTACAGTGATTACAATTACAAATGAATCTTATCTTTCATTAAAGCAGGCCCAGCATGATTCTTATTCATCACCAACTACCAAGCACAACTTTTCACATATTCTGTTCAGATTTCACCACCAGTTCAGACTGGTTGCTCCCACAATTAGCTTGACTTAACAGTAGCTAATTATTAACCATTTAGATTGATGTTATGATTTACAGAGTATCCTTTTCTGGAAGAGCTTCATCAACAGTCTTATATTAACATTTAACAACTCCCTTTAAACAGTCTGACATTTCCAGTAGATCTTAGAGAAACAATAATGCAATGGAGTATGTCACAGGCATACATTTCAAATGTGTTTCAAAAATACATTATTCCAATCAAACTGTGACAAGGTTCACATAGTCAAAAGTGCCTACATTTCTTTCAGAACTAAGAATATGAAGGGAGGATCAAGAATATAAAAGCAGCACCAGCTGAATCTCAAGGAGATAAACTTGCAATATTTTCTTACCTCAAATGTTACATGACAGCGTGTAATCGGGGTTTATGTTAAGTAGAAGACACATCCCAGTAAAAAAATTAGATATCTCATGAAATCTACACTAAAGTCAGGACAATCCCAGTAGATAAAAGAAACTGTCTCCTTTGTGGGTGACTCTAAAAAAAAACACTTTCAGGTGGGTGGATGTATATATCTTAAGTATACAAGAGATTTAGTAGGTGTTTCTAATTAATTATCACAGGAACCCTATAGGAAGAATTGTTATTATCTTGTTTGGACAAAGTAAACACCTGAAGCACACGGGGTTTGGGGAACTGCCCTCTGTCTCTGAGGGTGTTGCAGAGTTAAGATCAGACCCTAAGTCACCAACATCTGCATTCCCTCATTGGTGGTGGTGATGATTGAGCTATTGCAGTTGCTGCTGTTGATAGGTTCTATAATTAACAGATAAAAGAAGTGAAGATTAAGTGAGATGATACATCTCCAGGAAAACTCTGGTACCCAAGATCACATAGGTGTATTTCTCACACTGTTGCTATTTTCTTTTTCTTTTCTTATTATTTTTTAATGTTTATTTATTTTTGAGAGAGAGAGAGAGTGAGCAAGCAGGGGCAGGGCAGAGAGAGAGGGAGACACAGAATCTGAAGCAGTCTCCAGGCTCTGAGCTGTCAGCACAGAGCCCAACGTGAAGCTCAAACTCATAGACCATGAGATCATGACCTGAGCTGAAGTTGGATGCCCAACCAACCGAGCCACCCAGGTGCTCTTGTTGCTATTTTCTTGTATGAGTTCCTGATTCCAGCTATTTGGGTTTACACTGTCCAATATAATAGTCAATGGCCACATGCAGCTATTAAAATTAAAATTTTAACTAATTAAAATTATTTAAAATTAAAAACTCAGTTCTTCACTCACTTTAGTCACATTTCTAGTATTCAATATCCACATGTAGTTAACAGTTACCATATCGATTAGCAAAGATTTAGAACATTTTTTCACATTGTAGAAAGTTTTATTGGACACAAAAAAATCACATAGTTTTATATATACTTGTGTATGTAAATACATAGAAAGGGAACTGGAAAATGCAAATGAAGACATTGAGGTTGGGACAGGGATTAAGGAGGACCTTCATGTTTTGTTCTGTATGCTTTCACATTGTTTGAAAGGTGCATATAAGGTTCCTTTAGAAATGTAAGAAAACGCAATACCTCTTTAAAAAACTATAATAATTTTGGGAAAAAATATTGTTTTCAATCTTTTACAATCTTTCCAATGCACTTCCTGGTAGAGGATATTACCTAAGAACTATTTCCTTGGTATCTGGCACATAGCAAACGCTGTTGCCAAATTAAGTATTAATTAGAAAAAAAAGAGGCTCTGTTGGGGCCAGAGGAAGAGGAGTGGATTTTTTCTTTTCCCCATATAATAAGGAGCCTGTATGAGCTACTCTTCTCCAAGGAGCACAACAGCCCCTTTTAGCCTGGCCTTGCCCAGCGTGGGAGATTCCCAAGCCAAATTTAGAGCAACTCTTGAAATATCAGGCAACAAGCACATCACGAAAATCCCAAGCCATCCTATGTCCAGCAAAAGAAGATATGGAAAGCCCTTTCTCACCCAGGCAAGGGGCCAAGGAGCAGGGTCTAGCCATGCTGACTTGTTGATACCTGAGAAAGAATGTCATAAATTATTCCATGGCTCCTCACCAGAAAGTTTGATGAAGTAAAGCAAGAAAGAGAAAATCAATCCCAGTAAGAACAGCTTCTGTTAGATTAAAGGAGAAAGGTTGATAATGAAGGGGCCCTGACAATTCAAATCCTGTTGGAAAAAAAAAAAAAAAGATTACTCCACAGCCCTTAATCCTCTCTCACTTCCTAACCACCACCCCCATCTTGATCATTCTTGGGCCATTTT